TTTAATTACTTAAAAATCTCACAAACACACACACACATAAACAAACAAAGGCCAAACTTGTTGAGCAATGTCCTAGGGAGGTTCAAGATAGTTTCAAATCTTGCAGCAGCAAGAAAGTCTCTCAGCCCAGAGATGATTAAAATGCCTCGGCGACTCGGTGACTCCTTGGAGAGACACCGCCACACCACCCCTGGCATCGCCAAGAGGGTGCAAGACCATCTGGGTAGGCAGGAACGCAGGGTTGGAAAGAGAAGGTCTCGGGGTGGGGACAAACCTCCACTTCTCAGAGCGGAGCTGACCTTTTACACACATTTGTCTGACATGTCCGAGAAGATGATTCGACACCGGTTCTTTGTTCACCTCTCCATCCCTGCGATGGCAGCTGGGAGGGTAACTGGGTGGCTTCCAGTCGGCCCAGGCCCCATCCCTGGACAACTGGATCTCTTGGCTGTCGGGAGGTAGCTGCCACTGTTGGGCAGCGAGCGCAGCCTGAGGCTAAGCTCCTCGCCCTCGCCTCCCTCCCAGCCAGGTGTGGTTCCTGCCGGGGAGCCCCAATCCTGTGGCTTCTTTTAAAGCTCCCTTCTAATTAGAAGCAGCGGTGAAATCACTTGAGCGATTTTATCTGTCATGGGAAAGCAAACCCCAGCCCAAACCTCAGTTACCCATCCCAGAACCATCAACGCCCCCGTTCTTCTTCGGGTAAAAAGTTTTTAGTGGAAAAGATAAAGAGCTGGAAAGCAACAGAGGAGTGGGGGAGGGGCGGGAATGGTGACAGTAGGAAAAGAGGGTGAACCTTAAATGGAAGTATGCGTGTAAGAGTGTGCAATTGTGTGCGTGTGTTGGGCTCTCTGCGGTGGAAGACCAAACCGAGAAGCCAGAAGTGAACCTCTTCACCTACTGAAAAAACAACTTTGATCTGGGATCCGACGCTGAAGCAGCCCTGGGGGTTGCTGACTCGGATCCGCGAGGCCCGGGACTGCCTTGAATCTCGTGGGCCGGCGGGAAGGGCAGGAGGGGGACCTGTCCCCACCGCGGGCATCCAGGTGCGCGGGACCTATCCAGACTGGCCCTATCATCGGGCCTTGCACTCCTCCTCCCACCCATCTCCGGTGGAGACTCCCGGCAACAAAGTTTCGAGGGGGAGGAGAGCCATGGGAAGACTCTGTAGATGCCCCCAGTGCTTGAGTGTGAAAACAGCCTCTCGCACTTGCAGTGCGCCTGGTGCACCCTGGCAGGCCGTCTACCTCGGTTCCCAGGTCAGAGACTGAACGGGAAAGCGGGTTGGGGCTGTTGGGAAAAGCTGGAGTTGATGACGAGATTGCCGTGGCTATAAATCCATCACTTCCCAGTTCAGCTCCGCGAGGCGCAGGGACTGGGGCTGGCGGAGTGAATTCCTGGGCGAGCGCGCATGCGTCGGCAGGTAGCAACCCAGCTCTTTATGACCAGGTGAGATGTTGGTGAGCAGGTAAAAAAGGAGGATTTGCCTAAGCGATTCCAGGGAGCGGGCCCAGTCGAGCCCTACAGCCCATGCCCGGCGGGGACCCGTCGCCAGGAGCGCCGAGACGCGATGTCCATACTTGCCAAAATGGGGGACTGGCAGGTACGGGGGTTTGCCGGGGCTGGGGCCGAGGTGGGCGGGGGTGGGACAGGGGAGGGTGCCGGGAGGGGGAGGCGGAGAGGAAGAGCCTTGGCCCAGGGCAGGAGAGTCGTAGGTGAGGCGCGCCCGGCTGCGCCCCGAAGAGCTCCGTGGAGAGAGAGAGGACAGGAGGACGCGCCGGCGGCGGCCGAGGCGCTGGGGGCTACGCGCTGCCCGCGGGCTGGGCGCTGGGGAAGGTCCGGCACGCTCCCACGGTGGCCCCTGGGGGAGGGGTCACTTGTAGTTAGTAATGCAGCCACCCTCCCCACCCCCCTCAGTAGAAACGGGGCTGGATGACTAATTCAGGAGGAGGGAGGGTGCAGGGCGGGGGTTGTGGAGCGCCATGAGGAGGCTTCCCTGCTCGCTACGCCTTCGATCTTGTCCCAGACCCCAGGGTTGCGCGTGAAGAGGGGTCCTGGTGCACCTGTCTCTCCGCGTGTCTCCACGTCGTGGGGACCTAGGGGATGTAGCAAAGGGAAAGGGGTCCAGGTGGAAGAAGGGTCGCGGGGCGAGCGTGTTCTTTGGGGAAATACTTCAAAGAGTTTGCGCTAAGTTTAGCTTCTCACTCAGTCCGCCTCCTGAAGCCAGTTTTCGCTTCTTGGGCTCCTGATGGGGAGACTGGATGCGGGTGTGTGTGAATGGTGGGCGATGAGGCAGAAGATCTAAAATTTTCCGAAATCAACGCCTCCGGCGCCGCAAGGCCAGCTAGGCTCCGGCTCCTGCCCGCCTCGAGCCACGACCTGACCCGACGTCCGGAGCATTCGTCCAGAGCTGTCCTGACTTCCAGGCGTGTTCCCTGTGGGAACCAGGGCGGCTCTGGCCAGAATGGTGAGGGCTGCAGCCTCTCTGCTGTCTCCGATTTCATAATGGGAACCCCAGGGCCCTTTTTTCTGCCCCTGCAAAGCAAGGCCTGGTTAGGGCGAGGCTCCATGTGCCTAAAAGTTTGCGGGTCCATTGGAACCAAACGCCCTGATCGTCCCAAAGAAAAGGCGAGGCCTACTCCTTGCGGGTGGAGTTCTTTCACTTGTTTCACATTTGGGCCAATAAAAGTTCAGAGAAGTCCTGTCTTCACTGCATTCATTGGAGTTTGGGGAAAGGAAGTCATCTCTCAATACTAATTTATTTCCATACACTTTTTAAAAAAATCAACCGTGAGCTCTTATGCCTCTCCCCACCTGGTAAATCTCACTAAATAAAATGTCATCCCCAAAGTTAGACTAACTTTGTGGTTTAGAGATGCAAATCTCACACCAAATACAAATCCTGGGGTAGCACACCTTTCTTTCCCTTGTCCCTGTGGGCCTCAGGGCTCTTCTTCATTCTCTTCTCTGGGGGGTGAAGATTAGGGAAGTTCTTTGGCAGAGGTGTTTAGGTTTTCTCCTCAAGCCCGAAGAACTTTGTTGCAGAATTCTGAATTCCTCGGTGGCGAGAAGGCGCTGGGAGTGAAGGCTGGGCCTGGGTCTAGGCCTCCAGTAGGCCCAGCCCAGGTCCCGAAGCAGTAAGCTTACAGCCTGAAGGGGAAAGGAGTGAGCCCAGGGCCTGGCTCCTGTGGGCTCACTGTTTGGCAAGCGGTGGGAAGCCTGGATCTTGAGTGCCGCGCTGAGGATTTGGGGTCCGGAGGAGGGGGATGCTCTGGGGTTGTCCTGTTGGGCTGCTGGGTCCTACTGGGTAGTGACAAGGGGAGAAAATAGAGTCATTCTGGCCTCTGCTGTCTCTTTGTTTCTCTCCGTATCTCTGTCTCTCACACAGATACTCGCTCTTAGTTTGTCCACGGCCCCAAATCTGGCCTGGACCCCCTAACCCTAGGCCTGGCGCTGCCGTCCCGGGGTGCCGGCTAGGCGGGACCATTGACATGCAAACAAGCCACTTGTGGTGGTAATGGCGCGCACTCTCAGGCCCCTCCGCTGGCTCCAGGGGTGACGGGGTGCTTGCCCCGGCCTTTCTTTGGTGCCCAGAACTCTGGCGGAGGCGCTGAGCCCGCAGGCCCCAATCTGCACCTCAAAGGCGCCCTCGGCGGGAATACAACAACAGTTTAGCAGCTCTGGCTGGTGCGGAGCCGGAGGTCGGCGGGGTGCGGAGCAGCGAGAGGGGCTGGGTGAAAAGATGAAGGGCCTTTGCCTTCCCCAGGCCGCACACTGAAAGAAAGAAAGCGAAACAACAGTTCCTCTAAACGCGCGGTAGCGCAGTGTAGGGGTGGAAAATCCATGCTCCCAGGCCTGGGGTTTGGCCTACAGATCACGCTCTGCGTCTGCTGCCCCGGCCGGGGAGGTGTCAGTCCTGCCAGCGGCCCATCTCCCCACTTAAAGTGAACCCCGGGGCAGCCCCAGGGGGCGAGTGTGCCCGCACTAGAGCTGACCCTTTCCTGAGTAAGGTGCCTGGGGAGCCACAAGCTGGGCTCAGCCCAGAGACTATGCTGGTCTTCTGAGGCGGGGGGCAGGGAGCAAGGGCAGGGGAGCGCTCAGATGTGGGGAGGGAGTCGCTCCGGGTCTAAATCTCCCCTGTAGCTCTAGTCTTCCTTCTAACTTTTTGGGGGCCTCTGGCCCACTCTGCCTGGCTTGGGAAATTTGTTGCGGTCCCCCGGGGGGAGAATTGTCCTTCCGCAAGGCTTGCGGGGAGGGGTCCCCTCTCCTCCGCCTTCTTCCACCTGTTAGAGAAAGCTCCGATTTTCAACAGCCTCTACCCTGCTTTGAGGACACTGTGGAAATCCGGGAGGCTTAGAGGTTGTCAAGAAACAGGGCCAGAGGGGATCTGAGGTCGCTGGTCGAGCAGCTCTGAGGAGAGACCTTCTGTTGTTGGGGAGTTTTCGGTATTCAAGCGGGAGAAAGAAACTTTTTTGTGGAGGGCTATTAGCAAGCTCAGCCAGAGAAACGGACTACTCTGTCTTTTGAGTATCAGTCTTTGTTTTTTCTTTCCTCTTTAAAAATTTTTCTAAAACTGAAGAAAAAATACAGCCCTGGGGTGAGCAGGCCCCTGTGTAGAGGGGGAGAGCCTAGACCGGTTGGCCGAGGGAATGGCTGGCCGGTCTTCGGTCTTCGGTTTGGGGGCAGCCGGGCACTGCGCCCCGAGCGCGCCCGCCCGCGTGGGCAACATCACCAAATCATGAAGGAACTCTCCCTGCTTTAATTAAAAAGGAGAATCTTGGGAAAACTGGAGCAGATTAGCACAGCGAAGAGTTGGTTCCCAGCGACTTATTTGGATGCATGCAAGTGCACACATGTCAGTATTCCGGCTCAACTCCAGAAGCGACTGGAGCCTCTTTAGGAGTTCCGTGTCCTTGTCCACAGCCCGCCCAGGAAGCCCTCAGTCCAAACACCACGTAGAGTTATCACTCGGCCCTGGCTCCATACAAACGGGAGGAAAATCATTTAACTCCTGGAGCTGTCAAGTAACCTCTTCAGGGTACAATTTTTATTTTACACGCTGCAATTAAAGAATCGCAAACCCCAGCCGAGCGACGGAGGCCGTTTGGCAAAACCTCCGACCTGGGGGTGAAGCACAAAGCCAATAAAACTCCCAACGCTCCGGCCCGCGGTGGTGGCTGCCCGGCGGAGGCGATCTTTTCTTGGGCAAAAATCCTGGCGTGACTTCGCTGATCTTGGTGTGGTGGTTATGTTTAATTGCCAAAAGGATAATTTCTAATAAAATGGGAGGGGGCCGGAAGGACAGCCCCGTTCTTAGCAGCAGAGGTGGGGGAGCGGCGCTGAGAGCCTGGCCTCTGCGCCGGGCTGCTCCCTCTAGGAGGGGACGGAGTGGGGGACTGGGGCGGACTGGGGGTGGGGGGACGGGCAGGGGCGCGAGGCGGGGCTCGGGAGCTTTCCAGGGCTCACCGGCCGGGCGTGCACTCCGGGAGCAAGTTGGCGGCTCCAAGAGGCCTTTATACCTGGTTCGGAGGCAGATAGTCGAGCTGGCGAGCAATTGGATTATTGTTGATATGCTAATGAGGCGATTAGGCTGTGGGTAAAGAGCTGGAAAAGGGAAAAGTTTCTACCATTAGAGGGAGATCTCCGAGCGCACACGGGAGCTCTTTCCCTTCTCGCCTCCTCCTCCTCACCCTCCTCCTCCTCGACCTCCTCCTCCCCCTTTCTGCCCTCCTCCTCCTCTTCTCCCTCCTCCTCCTCCTCCGCTCACCGTCACAGCCGGCACTTTGCGCTTACCCCGCGAGTAGCTGCACTTGGTTGCGAGGCAGAGAGGGGGCCAATCAGTTCACGCCGATCCATGAAAATGCTTTGGAAACTGACGGATAATATCAAGTACGAGGACTGCGAGGTAAGCGCGGCGCCGGCTCAGTTCTCCTCGCGGCCTCAGGATCCGAGCTCTCCCCTCCGCACCTCCGCTCCTCGCAGCCCGCTGAGAAGCGCGGGTGGACAAACTTCGCCCCGCGCCGCGCCCGCCTCTCCGATTCGCCCGAAGGATGCCGGGGAGAGGTCGGACAGCGAGCCAGCGGGCGCTCCCCTTCTCATGTCGCCCCTTCGAAGCCTGTGCCCCACTTTCCCCCCTTTTCTGAGCAACATTGCCTGTGCCCGAGACGAGGGAGAGGAGAGACCAGCATGGGTTTTGGAAGCGATTGCTGGCCTTGGGGCACGCGCCCGTGCGCTCCGCGTGCCTCTCTGGCGAGGTTCTGGGAGCCCAAGTCACCAGGAAGAGAAAGGAAAGAGAAAACCCTTTACCTTTTTTAACTTCCTCTCTGATCCTTCATGTTTGTTTGCTTGTTTATTTACTGGCTTATTTATTCCTCCCCCAACCTTTTTTTAAAAAAAGGCTCATTTCTCTGTGGAGAGGGGGCCGCATCTCCCTTTCAGCGGGTTCAGGGTGCGATCACTCCTCTCCCCAACTGCCGCGGGCCGCTCCAGGTGCTCCCGCTGCTCAGGAAGTTCCGCGCCGCTTCTCTCTGAGCACTCGGTTGGCGCCTCCACGGGGTGGGGGTGGGGGGGCGGCGCGGCTCGGAGTTTCCCGGCTCCCGGGTCCCCACGCCTCTGCCCCGGCGGCCGCCCGGCAGTCGGCGGCGTCACCGTGGGAATCCCGGCGGGGCTACACGCGACCTCCGGTGCGAGGAGCCAGCGGGGCCAATGGAGCCGTTAAAAAACCCAGGGTCCCGGGAGCTCGGGTTCCCGGAGCCGGGGAAGCCCCGGCACTACCGGTCCGCGCGCGGGAGGCCCTGAGACCCGGCCAGGCGGCCGCCGCTCCTGCCGCCCGTACCGCCCGGGCCGAGAGGAGTCGATGAGTCACGAGAGGGGGAGGGGGCCGCGGCCGGAGATTACCTAAATAAAGAGGCGGCAGTCCCGGCTTTTGCTCTTTCCCCCCTTTCCTTTCTTTCTCGTTGGCATCTGGAGCTGGGAGCGCCAGGCAGGGAGGTCTGCGCGGGCGCAGCGGCAGGGGGCCTGTCTGCCCCGAAATCGGAACCTGGGTTTCTGTGAACGTGGTGCCGCCCGTCTCCCTTCCCCTCCTATTCGCAGACGATTTTAAATCTCGCTCCTTTCCCGGGCCCTTTCTCTCCGCTCTCCCCACCCCCCTGGGGCGCGGGGTGACGTCCCTCGGAGACGGGCGCTTCTCCGGGGCTCCTGTTGTGCGCGGCGCGGGGGGCAGACACCCCACGTCAGACCAGCTGCTTTGTTTTCAGAGCGGGGGTGCCCTTGGCGAGCGAATCGGGGTGAAACTCAGCCCTTAAGTCTTAGGCGGGTTGTCCCGGCTGGGCTGTGGCCGGAGGCTGGGGCGCTCACTTTCTCCGAGGCCGAAGCCCGGCTCCCGGCGCTGCACGCTGGGTTGGCGGCGTCCGGGCCTCCGCGCGGCGCTGGGCGCCTGTGGGACCTGGGAGGGAGGCGAGGAACTTGCACCCCCAGAGAGAGACCCTGTGGGGGCGCGTGTGCGTGTGTGTGTGTGAGTGAGGCGAAAAAGAGGGAAAAAATGATGAGAAACGAGACGGGGAAGAAAACAGAGTGAAGGCTGTTTCAACAACTTTGGCCGCGGCGGGCGAGTGCCGGAGCAGGGATTTCGGGTTTCCGAGCCGGCTCGGGGCTGTCTAATTATGTCGGGGCTCTGCAGGGACACGCAGGAGGCGAGGTGCCGCTTGTTCTGACAACCCGGCGGGCAGGCTGGCAGCGGCGGCAGCCTAGCCGCTCAGGGAGAGAACGAGCCGTGTCATCCCGGGGGGGAGGGGGGCGGGGGGGGCACGGGCGGGAGTGGCCCAGCCAGTCTGACGGGTTTGAGCCGGGAGTCCGCGCCAGCGGCGTCCAGGCTGGGCAGCCTCGCGTCTCTGCGCGCCCGGGGCCGCGTCCCGGCTCCCCTCCCGGAGCCCCTGCCCTGGAGAGCCGAGGGCGGGGCGGCAGAGCGCACAGCCCCGGGGGTTCGAGGGAGGCTCCAGCGGCAGCCGAGGCGAGGGTCAGGCCCGGGTGGGGCCCCGGGACATGGAGGAGCGGCGAGGCGGAGCGCGGCCGAATCCCGAGTCCCAGGCCCGGCTGCGGAGCGGAGGAGCTCGCGGCCGGAGAGGGCGGGGAGGCGCCTCCGGTGCCGAGAGCCGGTGGAACGCCCGGACACGGTCCCCGGTAGCTCCAGCCGGCGACGCGCGGCCCCCACGCTCTCCCGAGGTCTGCTCCAGCCTTTTAGGTCCGATTGTCCTCGCTCGCTTCCTCTCCCCCCTCCCCCTTCCCCGCGGCCTCCCCCTCCGCGCGCTCCGACTCAGCCCCCTCCCTCTCGTCCCCCCTCCCTCCCTCTTTCCCTCCCTCCCTCCAGCCGGGCTCTCCCTCCTTTCCGCCCTCCCCTCTTCCCAGTCCGGGCTTCTCTCCCTCGCCCACACTTTCTTTCTCACACACGCACGCAGACACATCCTCCCTCTCTGCACTCTCTCCCTCTGTCTCCCTCGCTCCCTCTTTCTCTTTCACTTTTGCATGCCCTGCAACCTTTTAAAATGTGGCCCCTTCCCTGTGATTCGCCAGACGCTGCGCCGCTGCCCCCCGCGCGCTCGCCCGCTCCCTCTCTCGCCCGCTTTTTGTCTCTCGCGCTCCCGCTCCCCGCCTCCGATTTGCTACACTGAGGCTCCCGTCAATGGACTGCATTGAGAGCCGGCTCCAGCGCGAGTTGCCTCTCCGCTTCACGCTCGATTTCCAGGCATTCTTCCCTTATTAAGTATTCGTGTAACATTAATAGTCATGAATATCTGCTATTAGGAGGCTCCAGGAACGCTGCCCAGCGCGGTTATTAGAAGCTCAAGCGGAGCCGCCACTAAGAAAAGAGGGGAGACACGGATTAAGGAACACGCGCGCACGCATACACACACAGACACACACTTTTTCTTTTGGGGGGGCTTTTCGTTTTCTAAGGAACTTTGAATCACAACCGATCACGGCAAGATAGAGACCGAGGGGTTCGACCTGCCGAAGGCGCCGCTCGAATCGGTGGTTCAAGTTCGGATGGACCAGAGCGGGGCTCCGGCGCTAGCGGGAGCGGCGGCGCGGTGACCGGAGTCGAGGGTGGCGCCGCACTCCCGGCGCCTTTTGTGTGGGGCGTCCTCGGGCTGCGGGGCAGCCGGGCTCTCCGGGCTTGCTTGTTTTTTTCCACCCTGACTCGGTACCCCAGACTCTTCGCAGATGTTAGTTCACAGTTTTTCAGCTATGGTGAGTCCCACCCCCACCCCCACCCCCGTTTCCTTCGGAATTCTAAGCTGGAAACCTGGTGCGGCGGAGCTGCGCGAGACCTCGGGTTTCGCCACCAGGTTTCCAGCGGGGCGCCCCTTCCATCTGCATTTCCCTCTTTGCTCTTTTCCATCCTCAACTCCCCCGTCTCTGCTCCACATCTCCCGGCGCGCAGACCTACCTCGCCGCTACTCCCCGAGGCGTGTTTCTCGCCATGTTCATCTTTATTTCCTTGCGTCTTCACTTGTTCCTGGGATGTGCTCAACGTTTGATGCTAAATCCGTTTGCACCCCAAAAAAAACGTAGCCCCATGTGCCCCTTACCCTAGGGGCCGGGGCTGCACCTCCAAGGGTTCGCATTCCCCGGAATCAACTCTGTTCACTTGTTTTGCAAGCGAATTTCAATAGAGGAACAGAAAGTCAGGCGTTTCTTCTGCCTTTTGCGGCTGGGAGGGATGGGGGCCCCTTCCCCGGGGTGCACCTCTCTCATTAAACCCAAGAGGGCTGCGTCTATTTTAAACCTGGACTAGACGTCCCCATCCATGTGGTAAATCGAACGCCGGGGAGAAAGGGGCTTTTAACTGAGGGAACGGAAAAGGCAGAGTCTCCCCCCCACCCCAACCTGCAGTTAAAACCTTCTTTAAGCTGGTCATTTAAACGTGCTTCGTTATAGCCCCACTACGAAATGTTTCTATTTAAATAGTCATGAAATGCTAATAGTCTTTGAACGGGTATGATTTTTCCCTCCAAATAAATGGAACGAGGTAAACAACGCAGTTCAAATGGTGTGTGTGTGTGTGTGTGTGTGTGTGTGTGTGTGTGTGTGGCGCTTCTGCTGTTTAATATTTAGTAGGAATTTTAATTTTGCTGAAGGGAGGTTTCTCGCCGCAGCTTATCGTGGTTCCATTCTGGGAGGCCCTTTTCTATCTGGCCCGACCGTGGAAAGAAATAGCTAAGGAGAGTCTCTTACGCCCCACACTTGCCCAGTCTCATTCCCCGCGTTTTTGGAAGGGCCCGTTTCACTTCTGGGGTATTTTCCAAAAGGAGCACCTGGGAGCTCGTTTCTGCGGCCTGCCGCCGGGCAGGGGCGCTTTCCCACGCGGCCCTGCGGAGTGGGTTCAGCCTGGACAGCCGGAGCCCGACGCCTGACTGCTTGTTCTTCGCTTTCCTCTCGCTCTCTTCTAGGACCGTCACGACGGCACCAGCAACGGGACAGCACGGTTGCCCCAGCTGGGCACTGTAGGTCAATCTCCCTACACGAGCGCCCCGCCGCTGTCCCACACCCCCAATGCCGACTTCCAGCCCCCCTACTTCCCCCCGCCCTACCAGCCTATCTACTCCCAGTCGCAAGATCCTTACTCCCACGTCAACGACCCCTACAGCCTGAACCCCCTGCACGCCCAGCCGCAGCCGCAGCACCCGGGCTGGCCCGGCCAGAGGCAGAGCCAGGAGGCCGGGCTCCTGCACACGCACCGGGGGCTGCCCCACCAGCTGTCTGGCCTGGATCCTCGCAGGGACTACCGACGGCACGAGGACCTCCTGCACGGCCCGCACGGGCTGGGCTCCGGACTCGGAGACCTCCCGATCCACTCCTTACCTCACGCCATCGAGGACGTCCCGGTAAGAGGCCGCGCGGACGGCGCGAGAGGGAGTGCAGCCCGTCCCCCCTCCCAGAGAAGATGCCGGGGATGCACAGCCGGTGGGCCCGGGTTTTCTTCAGTGTGTTCACTTTTTCAAAATCTCATTTTATTTTTGGGGCGGGCGCTTTCAGGACCCACATAGACAACCGAATTTAAAAAATTAAAAATGAGTTCTGCCCCTAGAACAATGGTTCCTGGAAATCCTCCAGACAATGCCAGCATTACCATTTCCACCGACGCAAATAAATCAGATGAATGTCACAATATCTCCCCCTCGCCAAGACAGTAAACTGTTTCGATTGGGAGAGGATCTAATTCCACCTCTGAGTCTGGCGCTGGGATTTCCCCCTGTCCTGAAAAAGATGTTAAATTCAACCGAAAGAGCTCATTAAATGCTCTGGCAACTCTAAAGAAAGTGTAAAAGACATACTGAAAAATTAATTTTACCGGATTTCACAAGCATTAGTGATATCTGAAAGTTGTGTGTATCCCCTACCCTGATTACCGAAGAGTTAAGTAGCAAATCTGAGCAGAGGGACATTAAAATGCAGCCTTCTTCTCTTCCTAGGGGTGCTAAGTGCTGACCTCATAAATCATTAGCTGGGTTCCAAACGCCTATCAGAACCTGCTACACCCCATATTAAATTAAATGTTCTGAAACTATTGAGCAACATTACTTGTTTTAATTCAGTTATCAATAAATGTAGTTTAAAATGATCTCTTAATAAGCATGATATTAGCACATTTACTCTTTACAATGTAAACCAGCTATTGATAATTTGAAAATACTTTCTAAAATTAAATTTAAACCAGCATCTCTGCTTCAATTCTACATATTTATGGTTTCCTCACAACCTTCCTGAAATGGAATTAGAACAAGCCAATAATTTTATTAAAGCTGTAAAGGCTCTATTAATGCTGCTTTTCTTTGGAGAGGAAATGTATCTGGATGTGATTTTTGCTGAAATGCTATTTCAAATTACTGCATCAAATATTGCAGCAATATGTCCGTTGACAGTTTAATGATTACTGCATTAGATTGCAAAGAAAATGGTCAGATGAACTTACCTGCTTGCTTGGTGAATTTAAAACTGTAAGTTACATAGGAAAATAGAAAATTTATTACATCTCTCATTTAGCTCAGTTAATCACTGAAATTTGTTGGTTGTGTTTAGCAGCCTTGCATGGAAAGCAGAAAAGTAGGAACTTGATCCAATGTGGGGTTTAGTAAGCATTGTGTGTGTGTGTGTGTGTGTGTGTGTGTGTGTGTGTGTTGTATGTGTATGTGTGTTCGAACATGTATTTAGAGGCTGATACTAAACTGTGCAGTTCTTGGGAAGGAAAACGACAGGAGCAATAGTTGAGAAAAGCGCAATTAAAAAACAAGCCTGGAAGTTGTGATCATTTTACTTCTTCCCAAAGATTCTCTGAATCCTTTTCCTAGCCTGGTCTTTGGAAATATTTGAATTGCAAAATAATGTTGCAAGCTTTTGAGACGACTGTGGATTAGAATTGCTCTACTTTGCAAAAATTCGAAAGTGGTTGGTGTGAATTCTTAACACCTGTATAGTCACTCTTTGTGGTGAAATTGGTCAGTAGGAGAAATTAACCTAAAGATCAAATGAAAACAAGGAAACCCAGTTGCTGCTCTCCCCCTCCCTTCCCCACCTTTTAAGAAAAAAATTCTTTCAAAGGAATTTGGGTCAGGAAAAGGGTTGTTTTCAATTTTCCCATTGCTGCAACAGTTAACCTTTAATAAGAATGACTGCTAAATATTTAAGAAAATCAAATCGATGGTGAAAATTATTTAATCATTAATATCTCAGTGGGGTTTTAAACTTAACAGTCTTCCCTGTATGGACAAGGTCTAGAAATAACACAAATAAAAGT